TTATGGATTTTACGTTGTGTATGTACGTATATGCGCGTATGTATATATATGAATTGTAGATAAAATTGTGCGCGCATATTTAATATTGTACTCAAAGAATAATAATAACGATAACAACAACAATAATAATATTAACAACACAAAATAATGATTAATAAAATAATCAACTGTATATGCTAATCGATAAAACAATGGATGTTTGACAGATTTATGTCCCTTTCTATCTTTCTGTAGATTAATTTTAATCTCGCTTTAATTTATTCTTTTTATCTTTTCCTAATAATCCTTGGTTCTAAAAATTACAGAAAATAAGTTTAGCCGAAATTAAAAGTAATTATTTTGAAGCGGATTAATTGTTTGATTTTTGACATAACACACGAATATAATAGAGATCATTTCTTATTATCAATTTATATTCTCAATTTTCATGTTTTACTCCTATTTTATCCTTTTCTATTTATTATAATTAAAAAATCCGTTTGTAACGCTCCCAGTCTCTCACTTGAATTACAAGATTTCCTCTATATACACATACAACACACACACGCGAATGTGTGCATTCTCTCTCTCTCTCTCTCTCTCTCTCTCTTAGCATTGAGGGTTTCATGTATAAATAAATAAATATAACAATTTTGAAACAATAAATTCTCTGTTCGTTTTAGTTAAATTTACACTTTCTGCATTCACAGCAAGACATATTAGATCGATCAAAAAATTTATTTTTCTTATTATTTTTATGCAAATGAAACGCAGATGTCAAAAAAAAAACGAAGTTTTCAATCAATATGATATATATAATATTAATTTTTAAATTTAATGTACATTACTGTACACATAATGTGTACGCACGCACACGCCAGAGCACGAGCACACACACTAGTAAATTTATATGTATTGATCTAATATATTCGTTCCTTCTCCTAATAGACAAAAAAAAATGAAAAGACCGAACGAATTTTTGATCAACCTAATAGTTTTAATTTAATTTATTTATATAATTTAATACAAATATAATTATTTATAAATACATATTTATTAAAACATATTGTGTTCATTCGCTATTTCCCTACATAATTTTTATATTAATACAAGTTTTATATTAATAAATCAAAAAGAAGAAAATTTTTGATCAAATTAATATACTAAATGTATAATTCAGACTATTTAATATTTAATACAATATAGCATCATTAAAATACTTACTTTAATAATACTGGATTGCGCATCGTCCGTTCGAAAAAAGTCTTATATAATCTCTCTCTGTCTCTCTTCTTTCTCTCTTTCTCTCTATTGCTCCCCGATATGTAGCAAAAAAATTAATAGCTGTATATTTTTTTCAATGCTCCATATATAGAATAAACTACAAAGAACAATAAATTCTTTAACATCTTCACTTGCAGGTTTTTTTATGTGACAATAACGATATGCCAGTGCGCAGTTTAGTATTATTAAAGTTCTAATGACACTTAATGCAGTGTGTTATGATCCTGGCCATTTTTTTGTAAACAGTAGAGATAAATAATATTATTTTGCAGACAAAGAGAAAATGGTACAGAATGAATCAGACAAAAGATAGATAGATGAATTAATATCAATATTATCAAAATCATCATTCAAATTCGTGGAATATAGAAAAGATTTAAAGTTTAGAAACGAGAGACATAATATTATAATCTCTCTCTTTATTTGAATCGGACATTTTACTGGAGCAGATTCCATACATGAGCTTCGACCCGGATCATAACATTGTTCCAACGCCTAATGAAGAGAAAAAAAATGTTTATTTCTGAGATATATATGTATATATAAAAAGTATCTAACTAGAATCTTAAAAACGTTTTATTATTACATATAAAATATTAGATTAAATTTGCTATTAAATTGATCAAAAAGTTTGTTTCTTTTACTATGCAAATTTTTATATACATATATATATATATATATATATATA